CTATGTCATTGAGTCTTTTCCGGGTAAAACAAAAACAATAGAAAGAAAGAAACCTTTGGGTGGAGACAACAAATTTGTAAATTTTCTCCCAAAAGATGAAAACTTTAAGCTGCAAACCGAACTCGAATCTTATAATTACCCGATTCCAATATCTTTATACCCAAAAACTCGAAAGACCCGAACCGAACGGTTCCTCGTACAAGAAAGGCCATGACTACTATGAACATTCTTGCAACTAAAAAAAGCCAACGATTCGCAAAGACGACATATGTGAGTAGATCAGAGAGCTTGGACAACTTTTAGAGAGAAGGACTCACTTGTTGTGTACCCTTTAATGGGTTTGTATTTCCCTCCTGTGGGGGTTGTTGTATCCATCCCTTTGTGGGTATTTTCTCTAATAATATACTAACAAGTTGTTGGCCGACCCAAAAAAAAACTCACCTTTATGAATCTCTTCACTTCACTGACTACTCTGCTCCATTGTAAAATGTATCTACTACACTAGTCACCATAATTCCTCTCTCTGAATCTAGAGTTCGTTTTTCGAAGAAAACAATAATGGTGTGTTTCAATTTCAGTGAGGTCAAGAAGAAGAAGAAGACTCTGATTGGGCTTGGATTAGGACAGATTATCTCGCTTCTCTGTGCTTTGATTTCGTTTTCATCTTCTGAAATCGCAAGAAAAGGTTTTTTTTACTATCTTCTTTTTTAAAAGCCGATCCTTTTTATACACACATTCATATTCATGGCAAAATTTGAAATCATTTTTTTAGGGATTAATGCTCCAACATCACAATCTTTCTCCGGTTATATGTTATTGGCAATCATCTATGGAAGTATCATGCTGTATCGAAGACCCGAAATCAAAGTAAGTCATTTACTAATCTTTTTTGGAGACATCTGATTTATTAACTAAGCAAAAGTGTTGCTAAAATCTTGAAATGCAAAATTGAATTGATGTAGGTGAAGTGGTATTACTATTTCCCCCTGGCTTTTGTTGATGTGGAAGGGAACTTTCTCGGTGAGTGTTCTTAGTAAATCCAACTCTTTGGCTTGATTGAACATTCTGATCCTGGGGTTCTTGTGAAGAGTTATTTCCTTAGAAAGTTTGATACTTTGTGTTCTTGTGAAAGTAAACTCTGTTAGTTTCTTGCTTTTTTGTGGTGAATATTATTATTAATATTACAGTGGCAAAGGCGTATCAGAACACATCGATGACGAGTGTCATGCTACTGGACTGCTGGACGATCCCGTGCGTATTAATATTAACTTGGGTTTTCCTAAAAACAAAATACAGATTGATGAAGATCAGTGGCGTTGTTATTTGTATTATCGGTGTTGTCATGGCAGTTTTCTCAGACGTCCATGCAGGGGATCGAGCTGGTAATGGTTTAAAGTAAAACACACTCAAGTACTGGCTGGCCCGAGGAACTCGATTTAACCATATTATGGTTGGCTTTTCAGGAGGAAGTAATCCTTTGAAAGGAGATTTTCTTGTTATAGCTGGAGCAACCTTATATGCTGTCAGTAATGTTGGTCAGGTAAGCAAGTCTCTACACGGAAATGTCCTTTATATATCGCTTGCGCGGAATGGTACTTGTAATTCTAGTCGCCATGTTTATAGGAGTTCGTTGTGAAGAGAGCAGACAGAATTGAGCTCATTTCCTTTTTGGGACTTTTCGGAGCAATTATTGGTGCTATTCAGATGTATCCTTTAAACAAGGCTAAAGACTTTTTTATGTTTTTTATCTTTCTTAGAGTTAAAAGCTATCAATCAAAATGGGATATTTCTTGACTTGTCCATAGAAGCATATTTGAACGCGATGCGCTCAAAGCTATTCAATGGTCTAATGGGGTTGTAAGTTTGCTGCTACGCTAACGATATCCCATTTTCCTTGTCGATTTCTATAAAACTCAAAAGACTTTCTTTATGCAAACTCTTAAAAGTTTCTACACTTTTGTGGTATTTTCAGGTTTTTCCTTACATTGGAATCGCACTCGCCATGCTTCTTTTCTACTCGTTTGTCACAGTCCTACTCAAAGTACGAGACAAAACACGCGCCACGCTCTGTTTTCATGATGTCAATGTCTGTTTTATTGCTATGCCTCTGAAACATTTTAACATGTTTTTTGAAAATATGAATCTTCTCAGACCAATGGTTCAGCAATGTTCACCCTCTCATTGCTCACATCAGATATGTGGGCGGTTTTGATCCGCACTTTCGCATACCACGAGAAGGTGGATTGGCTATACTTCTTGGCATTTGTTACTACAGCCATTGGACTGATCATATACTCAATGTACACTCTTTTCTAACCTTTCTTCAACTCCAATAAATGTTCTCTCCACTTATTGGTTTCCTGAATTGATATTCTCAGGAAGGAGAAAGATGAGGAAGAACAAAAGAGCGGAGAAGTGGTAGATGAGCGGAGGAAGCTGTCCGATGAAGAGGAGGATAGTGAGTCGCTTCGAGACAGCCTTATAGTTGCTTCCACCTGAAACCTAATCAAGCCTGAGGTTTTTTGGTTTTGTTTATGTCATTGGCTTGAGATATGGATTTGTTTTTTCTTTCCAGGAAAAACAATAGAAAGAAAGAAACATGTAAGTGAAGATAATCTCTCCCAAAATTTGGTCAACTGTAATGAAATTTTTTTGCTTAATGATACCAATTAGTTTGAAATGGTGTTAAACTTTCTCAATAAAGTTAAATAAAGGACTATATTAATAACACTTTGACATTTTATAAATGACTCTTTAATTTGTCTCAATACCAAGAACTATCTCAATCAATTAGTCAACGGTTCTTAAAGGCATCACACATTTCATGAATTTAGTTTTCAAGGAGAGTGTTTGAAGGAAGAGAGCAAAATGGTGATGAATTTAGTTTGCAACAAGATTATGACAAAGAAGAAGACTCTGAGTGGTCTTGGTTTAGGACAACTAATTTCACTTCTCGCTACTTATAATGGCTTTACATCGTCTGAATTCGTAAGAAAAGGATTTGCCATTACTCAGCAGCAGCAGCTTCATGATCTATCTGAAATTTGCTTGAATGATGATTAGTTTAAGGATTTTGATACAAGTGATTTTTTTGTTTTTTACATTCTTGAAAATTTAAAATATTTGTAGGGATTAATGCTCCAACATCACAATCGTTCCTTGGTTATGTGTTAATGGCAATCATATATGGAAGTATTATGCTGTATCAAAGATCTGAAATGAAGGTCAGTATTGAAATACTTTTTCTTGGAAACATTGGTTTTTACTCGGTGTTACTGATATCACAAGAGTGTCTATATCTGATAAATTGAGTTTCACAAGCAATGTGCCAAACAAAAGTGGCTATATTCTAACTTAGCAACTATTGCTAACATCTTCAATGCAACAAAAAATGTTGTAGGCCAATTGGTATTACTATTTCCTCCTTGCTTTGGTTGCTGTGGAGGCCAATTTTCTCGGTGAGTGTTCTAATTTATTGTCAAGTCTTTGGCTTGAACACTGATAAGTAAATTATTCTTTTCCTGCTTTGTGATTTGAGTATTCTTATGAGGTTATGAAATGAAACTACTTTGCTTTGGTTTTACAGTGATTAAGGCGTATCAGTACACATCATTGACAAGTGGGATGCTACTGGATTGCTGGGTGATTCCGTGTGTTTTGGTTTTGACTTGGCTTTTTCTGAAAACAAAATACAGATTGATGAGGATTAGTGGTGTGGTTACTTGTATTCTTGGTGTTGTTATGGTAGTTTTCTCTGATGTTCATGCAGGCGATCGAGCTGGTAAATGGTTTTAAATAAAGTGTCATTGTAAAACTCGAATTAAGCATGTTTAATGGTGGTTTTGTTTTTCAGGAGGAAGTAATCCTTTGAAAGGAGATTTTCTTGTTATAGCTGGAGCAACCTTGTTTGCTGTTAGTAATGCCGGTGAGGTAAGCAAGTCCTTATAGAGTATTTATATCGCGAAAACGGTAAATTTATAGTTCCTTTGTTATTGTATAGGAGTTTCTTGTGAAGAAAAATGCAGACATAATTGAGGTCATGACCTTTATGGGAATTTTTGGTGCTATTTTTAGTGCTATTCAGATGTATCCTTTTAGACACACAAGACTATGACTTTTATATTTCTTAGACTCATCTCCAGGAAGTTCTTTAACTTGTCATAGAGTCATATTTGAACGCGGTGAGCTCAAAGCGATTCACTGGTCAAATGGAGCTGTAAGTTTCTTGCTATTTGATCCTTTCTCCCTTTTCAATTTCTGCAAAACCAATTTTTTATCCTTCTACGCTTTCGCGGTTTTCAGGTTTTTCTTTTTCTTAGATTTCCACTCACAATGTTTCTCATCTACTTTAGTCCCGGTCTTACTCAAGGTATGAAACAAATCTCAAAACCGTATGATCTAAAACCCCGGTTAACTCTCTGTTTCCATGTTCAATGCCTCTGAAACATTAACACCTTTTGCGATGTGATTCTTCTCAGACCAATGGTTCAACAATGTTCACACTCTCGTTACTCACATCAGACATGTGGGCGGTTTTGATACGCATTTTTGCCTACCACGAGAAGGTGGATTGGCTCTACTACTTGGCATTTGCTACTACAGCTATTGGATTGATCATATACTCAATGTACACTCTTTTCTTTCTAATCTTTCTTCAACTCCAGTATATGTTCTGCAATCTAGGCTTCATCAAGCATAGTAAACAATCCATCAATGGACTTATCTTTACCCTTTTTCTCCTTTTCGATATTTCTCAGGAAGGAGAAAGATCAAGAGGAGCAAAGAAATGGAGAAGTGGTAAATGCGGAGGCTGAGCGGAGGAAGCTGTTACACGAGGAGGATGGCGAGCCGCCTAGTGTCTGATAGGTTCTTCCACCGAAACCTTAACCAAAGCCTGAGGATTTTTGTACTGAGATATTAGATTATTTCCAGTAAGAAGAAATGAACTTTTGGGTGGAGAAAAGTTTAAGTAATTTGTAACAATTGGTAACTGTAATGAACTTTTATTTCATCTTAAATTTAATGTGTAAAAACCAAACAAGATTTACCTTGTGAGAACAAACATTGGACATATTATAGAAGTTACTTCAAATGTATCAACTTCTATTTATTATTCTTAGGTTTTTAATTTAACTTACTACTAAAAATGTAAGAAGCTGCATCTCCACACAGCTCTAGTATGGTCACTTGAAAGCTCATCGTTATGTACACAAACGTCAAGAGCAAAAGAACTCGTGTAAGTACCAGAAATATCCAGTGGCAAAACAGCTCCTTCTCTGTTACTTTGTTTTTTCTTGCTTTGGTGACTTTGATCAGTACGTAACGGGTTTTTTTTAACGGTATGCATCATTCAAACTCTCGTCGTGAGACTTCATTTTCCTTCTGCGTGAACGAGGGAACAGTAGCTGGTGGATCTTCTTCTCTGCTGCCGTTTCTGTTGTAGCCTGTCACAAACAATGATGAGAGAAGCATAAGCATAGCAATGTCTTTTTATAATTAAACGTTGTATCTTTGTTCGATGGTTTACTTCTCTCACCCTGGTTTTGAAAGGGAAACGGTGAGTTTGGACTTGTGCGCCTGCGAAAACTCTCACATCCATACCGAGGCTATCAACACTGATCAGGTTAGCTTCCTGCATAAGATTACCATAAAGGAGCAAGATCGGTATACAAAATTTAAAACGGAATGGTAACAGAGTGATAGCTATTTTTGATTAGGCATATTCCAGACTATATACAGAAACTTGGATACAATACCTCTGCATGAAGACCCTTCTTTTTGCAGAGAGCTTTGAGGGCAATGCTTGAATTAATCCCTCTGTTGTTGAAGCGCTCTATGATTGCAGAAGTTGAGTGCACAAGGATGTCTGGTTCAGCATCTTGAAAATCTTGCAAACTTATAGAAGACTGAAAACGTCAAAGAATCTAGACATCAACGCACGGTGAGACCGTGGTAAACAAAAAATGAAACACTGAGAGTTTGTATGCAGGCCTATGTTCGATGTTAAATTGCAACTTTGACATATTTCAGCAAACTTTAGCTTTCATGCAAATGACCTGACAATCATTTAAGAGAAATTGGGAAAGAAAATAGACTGTTGCAAAAAATACCTCTGTTCCATAGAGGGAGAGAAGCTCTATTCCCACAATCTCCAATCTATATAGACTTGAACTCATGTCGTTCTCGTCACGTCTGGAACTAGTGCTTGGATTGTCATCACCTGAAGATAAAAATCCAAAGGGAGGGGAATACAAGATGCCAAACAGAAAAGTTTACATTTCAGCACATCTGCTAAGCCGTGCTAATGAAATGGGAACAAAGTCAAAACAGCATTTTGAGGCGAAGAGAATATGAAAGGACCTTGAACCTCCCAGCTATAGTCATCTCTATCTTCCGAGAGAAATAGTCTTCTTATATAGGATTCCTCGTCAAGGAAAGCTGGCCTAAGGCATCCGAGTATGGAAACACTATTAGACGGATAGTCCATTTTCCTGTCATAGTCCATGCTGACGGCCTGAATGATTCAAAGACAAGAGATACCAATTCAACTACATAGTCAATGCAATGCAAGACCATTATGTATATGATACTACGCCTATCTGCAGCACTAGAGGGTTCAGTAACTATTGCAATATTCCAAGTTTATATAAAGCAAATCACTTTGATTAGGTTTTTCATCATGCCATTGCAAATTGTAAGGCTATATATCTATATAACCTTCGACAGGTGTTTGGCAAAGTAGATGGGATGAACCCCGTTGGAAGTGTCAGGCATTCCCCAATCGACCGGAATATCTCTAGCTTCAGAATCCATAATCTACTCAAATTTCAAAGTAAATTAGCAAGGAGAGTTAATAAGGTAAGACTCTTGGCATGTTTTGAAAGAAAACTAAAAGAGTACAACACCTCCAATAACCTTACCTCGAAATAATGGTCATCAAAAATAATTTGGTCAAGATTACCAATATCCGAAATGTTATATTCCTCATGGAGCCGTGTGTTTTCGTATCGCGGGACATCCATTCCAAAATAGGCTTTCTACAAGAATGTGATGAAAACTCAGATTAATAGGTGCTGGACGTGCTTATGCCAAACTTCTATAATTATAATTTTGCTAAAATCAAGTTGGTATCAGCTATGTACAGATACATGACATTCTAGTTGATCAATGACACGCTTACCACTGGATTACTAGCTCCAGGATCTTCTAAGATGTTCTCATCGTCAAGAATTTCGAAGAAGATATCTAGATTAGAATAAGAAAGAAAAAACATGAAGAAAACAAAACCGGTTATAAAGAAAGTGATTGATAGAGATTGATACATGGAGCAATAAAATTAGGAAGACTGACCTCCATAATCATCAATGACATACTTAAATTCGGACCATGTATTCTGATCGTGTGGTTCACAGTGAATAGCTCCAGGAAACACCAACATAGCACTGCTGTTAGCCTACAATCAAACGAGGGAAATTGTGTTCACGTAAACTCAATATCGGAAAACTCAAACAGTGATGGTTTCTCAGCTATAAACCTCGACCGTAGTCCTTGCAACTTCAGCAGCAGAGAGTTTTGTCTCTTGGACTCTTTTGCACGGCTTCAATTCTTCGAGAGGGTGATATCCGTATAAAGATGAATCAGGAACCGAATCAGAATAATCAGCCGCAACCGAAACTTTTGTGAGACCAAGGTCATGTCCACCAGATGATACATGAAATGCTGATCCTAAAAAAGGAATCTTGCATCTGGAGCTGAATAAAGGAAATTCACATTAAATGATAAGATTTATCAACTTCCATCAAAACAAAACAAATACATGATTACATAGACAGAGAGATAATGTAATACCTTAAAACAGAGAGATTAGCAGAGCCACATCCATCAAATACACGGTTTCTCGCGTTGCTGTTTCTTTTGTAAGGCATTGAGGAAGAGAACTCATCAGTGTAAGATTGATGACAATGAGATGGACCTGATGAGAAGAAGACATGCCAAGAAATCAGAAATGTTGAATGTAATTGGAAATTTGAAGAAAGAAGAAGCAAAAGAGGAAATAATTTTCTCAGATCTCTCACAATGACATGAACATTTAAATTTCCCCAACATAAAAAAATTCAAAAAAACAAAACTTGACCCAGAAATAATTGTCCCAGTTCTTATTCTTCTC